CTAGACAAAATCCATGCTTGCAGTGACAAATGGCAAGTAATATTTACGCCATACAAATGCCAGGCAATGACCATTTCTAATAATAGACAATCTCATCATCACTCCTTGATATTCAATGGTATTACCCATCACTGAATCCCCCACTATCAACATTCTTGGGATTACCACTGGCCAGAAACTCAACTAGTCTCACCACAGTGGCTGCAAGAGCAGGTCAGAGGCTAGGAATACTTTGGGCCCGCAATTCACATCTTGACTCCCCAGAGCCTGTCCACCATCTACAAGGCACAAATCAGGAGGGGCACTGTTAGCTTTCATTTCGAGAGGGCTAGAATACTAGAGCAGAGATGTATTGCTAAAGCTATATGAGACTTTGGCCAGACTGCATTTGGAATATTGTGAGCAGTTTTTGAGCTCTGTATCCAAGAAAAGATGAGCTGGCCTTGGAGGGGGTCCAGAGTAGAAATAATAGATTCATAGAATCCCTACATTGTGGAAGCAGGCTATTTGGCCCATTGAGCCCACACCGCCCCTCCAAGCAGCATCCCACCCAGAATATAAACCCTGCCTTATCTCTGTAACCCTGATTTTTCTATGGCTAATCCCCCTAGCCTGCACATCCCTGGACATTACGGGCAATTTAGCATGGCCAATCCGCCTAACCTGCACATCTGTAGACTGGTGTGGTGATGGTGGTGGTGGGTGGGGAATGAAGCACCCGGAGGAAACCCACAGAGACACAATTCATGTGGTTCCTTCTGGGTCCATAATTGATGAAATTCATAAAGATGAGGAAGATCTCATTGAAACTTACAGAATGATGAGAGGCATGGATAGAGTGGACGTGAAGAACATTTCTACTAGTAGGAGAGACTAGACCCTAGGCCACACAACCTCAGGGTGAAGGGATGACGTTTTAGAACTGAGATGAGAAGGAATTTCACCAGCCAGAGGAGATGAATCCGTGGAATTCATTGCCGCAGAAGGCTGTGGAGGCCAACTAATTGCATGTATTTAAGGAATAGACGATTCATAATTAGTAAGGGAATCAAGCGTTACGAGAGAAGGCACGAGAATGGGGTTGAAAAACATATCATCCACGATCAAATGGCTGAGCAGACTTGATGGGTCGAATGGCCTACTTTTGCTCCTATATCTTGGTCTATGATCTAAAAGGTGTTTGCAGAGTTTGTATCAGAAAGGTACCGAGTTGCAAATTTAGCTTGTGATGAACAGTAAGAGAAGGCCAAAGACAGAGACATCACTGTGGGGTGGAGAATTGAAGTGTTAATCTGTTCGTCTGCTTTTTTCTCTACCTGTTGGTTCCTGGTCCACTGGAGTCTGGTCTGCTTAGCCAGTTTTTTCATCTGTCATCCCCTTTCCTTTTGACTATTCATATAGATCTATGTATTTTAGTTCTTTGTTTACTCTAACTGCAACTTTATTGTTTCATGCTAATATTACCCTTGCTATTTAATCATCTCTTATTTTTATTCAAGAACTGCGCATCATTCCTCTTTTCTCTCCTGAACGTGGTTCTTTTTCACCTTGACCTGTCTTTCCATTGTCTATTTTAAGTGCAGTTCATGACATATTCCTGTTCTAATCAAATCTGCAATCAAATGCTGACTTATTTGCTACCACCACAGATGCAGCTACAGCACTTTCGGTTTGTTTTCCTTTCTAAACAGTGGTAAACACATGAACTTGTGAGATGGCTTTGAAATGTTTAGGCTTTCCCTTCCATGCAAAAGATAATGCTACCGCTGATGAAGTAATGATTGTGCTGCTGCATTCCAGAGATATAAGGCATTCAGGTATCAATCTTGGCTCTGTCATTACATCTTTATCTCCGAGTCAGAAGGTTTCTGGCTCAAGGCCTATACTAAAAATATAAGCACAAAATCTAGGCTGACATTTGAGTGTAGTGAATCTTGAATTATTGGAGGAATTTTAATGGAAGGGACATAAAACTAGATTCTTTTTACCTACTCATATAGATATAAAAGATTTCATTCAACAAGCAGCATGGAAGTTCCTGTCCCTGCCATAGCACAGAAACAATCTGAATAAAGGTCACAAATGATATGCTACATAACTGTGACTATGGTACACCTTTAAGCCTTTACCGCTCATGAGTCTTTTCATGGTCAACACAACATGCTTCTCTTAACAATTCTCCTCCATTGTCAGCTCAGTGAAATTGACTTCACTAACTTCTATTCTTAAACAGAACCTCTGTAGCAATGTCTTCTGTTCACGTGCCAATGCCCATGATTCTATCCATCGTCTTACGTCATCTTCATTTAAAAGCTTAGCAAAACTATCAACTACTCTTGTTCACCTCTACCTATTCATTAACTCTCTCTATCCTTCCACAGTCTCTTGTGCTGAGAAGTTGATTGGATAACACAAATATTGGCTAAGTCATGATTTCCGCCAAGCTCTTCAATCAGCTGCCTCTTTAGATTGCTATTATTTCCATATATCTCTCCGGTCAATGATTTTGTTTGAGACAAATTATTCAAAGACAGACTATTTGGTCCTGAGCTGAACATCTGACCCCATACTTCAAACATCAAAACAGCCTATTTCCACCGTTGTAACAAGGCTTCATTTTGCAGCTTTCTCAGCTCATTTATTATTGAAGCTTGTCATTCATCATCTTCAGGTGTGAAATCTACTGCTAATACTGGTAGGCTTAAATAAAAACAGAAAATATTGAAAATACTCAACAGATCTGGCCGCATCTGTGCAAACAGAAACAGAGTACTTCATCTATATAGTCTAATACTGTCTTTGTGGTTTCACACTTTGTAAACACTAGCTCATTCAAAACTGTTGCCATGACCTATTCTGTACCAAATCCTGTTCATCATCCATGCCCATATACTGATATACATTTGGTCTCGTTCCCCAGATGCTTAAAAATTCTCAAGCTTGTGCTGAAAACCTGACGTGGTCTTGCTCCTCCTTTTTTTCTGTGACCTCTACCAACCCTATAAATGAACTGCTTTCAATTCCTCTGAATATGGCCTCTTGTGCACCCTATCTGTAACTTCACCACTGGCAGCCTTCAGATATCTAGCTGCATTGGGAATTCTCTCCTTAGCCTCTCCATCTTGCTTCAAAGTCCACAACTTTCATCTAACATTTTTTTCCTTCTTTGTATTAGCACCAATTTTGTTTTTAATGCCTTTGTGAAGTGTCTTGGATTAAAATTTGAATTTTACACATATGATTTGGCATATAATTCTATAAACCAAGATAATTAAAGAAAACTAAGCATTTTTGTTAGATGCTTTTTCCACTCTGTGTCAATTCTTCATTAAATGCTCAATAGTATATTCTGTCTCTTGCTTCTCATGACTCAAATCATATTAGGAAAGAAATATTTATTTAATCACATTTTGAGGTTTTTACCCAAGTGGGTACTCGAAATTTATTCCATTTGTCTCACTTAATATTCCTTAATTTAGGTGGAAGTGTTGGCAAAATGATGCAGTAGATTGTGCATATGTTGATGTGTAGATTTGAATTACTTATTTCATTGGTTAACCAATGCCTCAGGTTTAAAATACTCATCCTTGTGTTCAAAACCCTCCATAATCTTGCTTATTCCTATGTCTATAATCCTTTCCAGGCTTACAACACTGCAAGAACTTGGTCTTCTTCCAACTACCACCTCTAACAAACTCCAAATTCACTTTGCCTCACCAATGAGTGGTGTATAGGTCCAAAACATTAGAACTTCTTTTCTTAAGCTCTCCACTTCTCTTCCTATCTGTAAGACATTCCTGAAAATAAATTTCTTTGGTCAAGCTTTTAACCATTCTTTGGCTCAGTATGAGGCCTGTGAAATTAAAACTAAGTACCTATTCTTTCAATAGAATGCAATCATTTACCTCATGTAGCATGGTGCAGAGTTCACAGAATTGATGGCAAAAAACTCAACAACTAATTTGTAATTGATATTAAGTAATTCTACACTTAATTATTCTCTCCTTGAAAATTATGACAGTAAATCAATTATTAAATCCTATTGAATGAAGAAATATTAATTGTTCATAATTAGAACTGTTACAAACAAATTGCACTGCAAATACAAACAGAAAGGTATTAAACTTGTAAATGCTACATACAACTTCTAATCTACAAATAACAACAGATCCCTGGGTTTACTTGTCTTAGCATCTTGAAACAATTCTATTCAGTCTTCTTTTTCTCTTTGCATTGGGAGCTTCAGACAATTTTAATTAAATTATAAAATAAAAACAAAAACACTGGAAATGCTCAATCGGTCAGGCAGCATCAATGGACAGCATTAGAGTTAATATTTCAGGTTAATGACTTCATCAAAACAGTTCAGAAACATTAACTCTGTTTCTCTCCATAGATAGTACCTGACCTGCTGAGTATTTCTAGCATTTTTTGTTTTTATTTTAGATTTTTGAGTGTCCACAATATTTTGTTTTTTTAATTAATCACCACTCAGTTCTACAGACAAGTTGTTCCATTTCAAATCAGTAGCAAGTTCTAACATGAAACAATTCAAATTGTACTGCCACTAATTTATATTTCATGAAATTGTTACAAAGAAATTAGGTACCCTGTACTTATGTTAATGGAACTATTGCATTAACATGACTCAAACAAAAGTCCATGTAAATGAAAACTTCTCAATGGAGAAAATAAGGAGCACATCTATAGGATTTATTATGTTGAGTTGCACAGATATACTATTTTAGATTTCTAATGGTTGCTGGGATTTATTTTCTTACAAATGGAGTTTGAAGCATAGTGTCAAAATAATTAGAAGAAATTCTGCAGTGCATCTGACTTCGGTACTCTTGAAATAGACAACAGGTGCAAAGAAATAAACTTTTCATTCTTGTATTACATGTTAATTTCTAGTACTTTAAAGGACACAAATATGTTCAACTCAGAAAAAGTAGTATGACATTGAGAATGCAGTATCATTATTTTGAATCTCAACCTACCTCATACTCCTGTGAGAATTTCAAATTATCATTGGCTTTCAATCTTTCAATGTTGTCAGCAAGATCAGTAATGGGGATTGGTGGATGGTCCCTCATGCCTAACCAAATAAGAGCCACAAAGTCAGTGAGACATATAAATACAGAACATGACAACTTTTTTGAAAACATAAATAAAATGAAATAAGTGTTAAAAGCACATGTGCATTATGCATGTAAAAAGGTTATGTGTGATATTACCAAAAAACACTGGAATTACAATATAACATGCGCCAATATTTGTGGTTTTTTTTTATATAACTGTATGGTTGAAACTGTTCTCTACTGAACATGCTCAGATGCAACAGTCACTGATCACACAGCACACAATTTCTAAGCGGCCCATATGCGGTTACATACAGAAAAGTGATGACAAAGGCAGATTTGAATGAGAAACATAGTAAAGGCTGTTAAAATTGCAGCAGTCCCTTTTTCTCATCTACACAGACCAAGGTGTTAATCAAATCCAGTCATGTTTCTGTTTTAAGATGAAAACAGAATAATCAATTTTGCAAAAATACCCCAAAAATATGTCACTCAAATCACTGAGGGAGAAAAAAGTATATTTTTTTCTGCTTCATGCATTCATATTCTTCCATCATTATTGCAATTAATAGGCACACTAGAATTAATACTACATCTAAAAAGCTCACATTCTGTTTAGCTTTTACATAGCATTCTTTATTAAAATTAAATTTATACTTATTTACAATGGAAAACATTAAATTCAATACAATCCTATTGTTTTTGCTGGTGCTTGGGAAGAAGGTAAGAATATGCAGCAGCTCAGAATAATTCTTCAGTTTGACAGTCTTCCCAGCATAACATTGCTGAACAACAGATCTCGTCTTGAAAATAAAACTTTATATTTGTGGAGGATTGTTGAATATCTCCACTTGAATGTTGGAAACTTTTAAAAAAATCCTTCAATGATATTTCAGTTTTTATCTTCATCACATGTGCATGTCTCAAGTTCTATTTTGTTCTGTGTAATAAAGTTTAAAATTGATTTGATTTTAACATTTTTCATTTTTTGGTTGTCTATCTGGGAATTAATTAATCTAACTGGCTATTTGACCAGCTTTATGCTATCATTACAAGTAGAGGCTTAGAATCCCTGTTATGGAATGCTAGAACAAAATGCATGGTTACAGAGTTGCACCATTGGTCAGAGACCAAAAATCTCTCAGTGAGTTTGAAGCCAATTGTGGGCATTCATGCTGTATCACTGGCTGAAAATTCCAGGTCTGTAAGTTTTCTTTAAGTATCAAGTATGGCAGCAATTTAGTCCTTTTGTTTTGTTTGTTTATTACAACTCTAAAAATCCTCAGGGTCTTTCCAGTTCTCACAAACTTACCGAGTCAACAATTCTATCTGCACATAGGATTCAAATAAAATTGTGAAACCTCAGTAAGGAAGACTCATTAGTCATCAAGCATTAATCCTTAAATAAAAATAATGTGCAAATGTATGGGAAGAAGCAAGAGATTGGCACTTGGTAGTGATGCTCGTTTGAAGACCTATTGCGGGCATGACGGACCAAATGGCCTCCTTCTATGCCTTAAGACTTCTGTGATTTAAGTGTAAAGCCAGATTTAAGCTACACTGCATTTCTTTGAGTTGTTTTGTTGATTTGTCATTCAATAAAAGGGTGGCGTCACATGCAATTTTAGCATTCAAAATGACCTGGTAATCCATGACTCAGAATTCTGATATCAGCACAAATTCATGCACTAGTTCTATTCCCAGAATAGATATGACTTTTCCACTTTGCATGAAGGGATTTCACTTGGTGCTACACCAAAGTCTGGATCCAACATTTCTACATGACACAATATTTTGCAGTGCTGATGGTTATAGCCTGACGGATGCCAATACACAAGTCAGGCATCAAATGATCACATATATATGCACAGGTTAAAACTACTTCAAATTTGAGTAATTCTTCATTTTAAAATAGTTGACAATTCATTAGAAAAGGCATACAAACACGTGTCTGATGAGCTTTCCACCAAAATGAAATAAATAAATCTTTACTGGAATTCTCAGCTACTCCTCAGGAACAGAGCATTTTTATTGCTGTTAAGATCAAAGGTTGGGAATTTTGGTTCCTATTCAGATGCCCAGATTGAATTGCTTAATTAACATGATCTTCAAAAAGAATTGGCACAATTATATTGTTCTACATCTAGATGTCTATCCTACGTTCCATATGATTAGTCTGTTGCAATATCAGTCATAACATTGGACAACTTATTCAACAGCCTTTAATAAAAGGTATTAGGAGTGCTATGACTTCACATAACAAAAATATTTCTTTAGAATATAATTTTATATTCTAATATTTTGCCATTAATTGGTAGTATGTGATTGCGGATAAAATTCTCAGTATCAATACTGATACATTGTAATTGGTACTGAACTGAAATTTGATCTTGAATAAGCACGAGAGGGGGAGGTAAGTGGGCCATCTAGTTAAAACTGTTGTCCAAATCCCAATGGGTACTTATACCATATTATTAATGTGAGCCTTGTATTAGATCATTTATTAGATCTTAGACATGCAATGAGAGAATTTGAAGGAAAACAAAATAATGGTGCAATGATTAAACAGTTTTGAGGTAAATGAAAAAGAAATTAAAGTGATTCTATGACAAGACAGTTTACAAATGTGACATTAATAAAATCAAAGTTTGAATATAAATAACAGGTACCATCTGGTGGCGGAATATCATCACTGCACCAATATTCTGGCATTGCCTTCATTTTCTCAGCATCTAGCAGGAATGTCAAGTATCCCAGATCCTTGGTTATACACTTGAACAAATACCTTGAGCAGCCATTTATTAGGAAATATACTGATGGCAGAAAATGTAGCTAAATTCCAAATTCCGCACCCTACACTGAGACAGATGCGATATTCAAACTGATTAGATTTTGTTTTTATATTTTGTGATCAACCTGTTCAGAAATGTTATTACACACCTCTGAAGCAGGTAGGAGTTGAACCCGGGCCTCCTGGCTCAAAGGTAGGGACCCTGCCACCACACCACAAGAACCCACTGTTTAGATTTTTCCTTCTACATATACATTTGAAGTAGACAAGTGATCATACTTCACAATTCTTCAGCCAACGAACACCAACATTGCAAACATTTTACACAACATTTACTGTATTTATTAGAATCTGTGAAGATCGAATCACAACTTCATTAAACTTTGTGTTTCGCAATTTCAACTCTTTGCCTACAGAAATTATGGACATACTCGAAAGACTAACTGCTTTTAATACTACAATTCAAAATGTGCAGTGCCCTTGCTTTCCAACTTTATGTTTAATAAGAAACAGAATGATGTAAAAACCTTACTGACATTTTTGTCCTTTTTCTTCCTATCTGTGATATTTTTAATATTAGAATACATGATTTTGAGATTGTAAAAGAAAATTAATCCACTGTAAATTTCTAAATAATTTCTAAAATAAAATTATTTCAATTTGTCTTAAGAACTGAATGTCTGAGCAAAGATTCAGTTTTATAAAGCTGAAATTTATTTTCTAGGTTCTTGAAATGCAGCATATGGAAAATGGCAAAAGGCCTTTATAATGCTGAGGACTATAAATCTACTGAATTTGCAGAATAAATTAACACTTTTTTTAATACTCAAAGGTGTCACTTCAATTCCTATGTACTGCTGAAAGACCTTCAAAACTAGAAATTCAACATTTCTGTCCTTTGAGGACTTGAGATTTTGTTCTGCTAGTGTGCCTATCAAAATGTTTACAACCCATTTTGTGATTCAAAGGTTTCAAGAAAATAATAAATGTTTGCTTTTTAAAATATGAATATGATAACTTTGGAGTACACATGTACACCACAGAAATTGAGGTTGTGTAGATAACCAAAGGGGACACTGCTCAATTAGTCACACTGGAACTGAGATTAGGTTCGTTGAGCAAAAATGACCTTCATGGCAGAGCAAGAGGAAATATACAGAAAAAAAAATGCAGAAAAGAAACAGGACAATTAAACTAACTTGAGTTGTTTGGGCAACTGGGGACACTTGGACCTGTGAAGAAAATGGGGCAGAAACATGTTTTTAAAAAAAAAAGGGGAAGAAAACAAATTAGTTTGTACCAGTGGAAAAGAGACCAATCTCAGCGTTAAATAGGTGAAGGAACACTTATATACTCAGGAGTTTCAAATAACATGACTTCTTTGTTCTAAAAGTCAGCAATTATTCCAACCAATTATTTTCATCACGTGGATAGTAATTACTGAAACACCAAGCATTGTAGATTCAAAAAATATTATCTTTTCAGTATTTTCCACTGACATAAAGCACTAACTTATTCAAAGGAAAATAACATATATTTCATATTTTTGTATTATTATCCATGAAGTACTGAAATTTCAGTTAATGTCTTACAGTACTTGGTCACACTCGACTTTGACTCTTTATTTGAACCCCTGAGTATAGTTGCTTAAAGAGCATCAACACAAAAAAAACTTAACAATCCAGATGCTGCCTTGCATTTCTAATTTAATAACTTCATTTCATGCAATTGCACTAAGTAAGTCTTGCTTTAGTAAGAAAAATTCCATCCGATGCACAATTTCACGTTAAATCATTAGTGCTTCAAGTAATTATTTTGAGTTTCAATGGCTATTTTGAGTTCTATAAACCTATTCAAGCATGCTGTTCACATGGTAGGGTGGCGTTTGGGAGTGAGCTGTGAACAGTGCCAAATCGGGACAATCCAACTCACATATACCCTTGTGGTTATATTAACATCACTGGTTTGCTGAATAAGCATGTGTGTTCTTAAGAAGGGTCACTGGACCTGAAACATTAACTCTCATTTCCCTCCATAAATGCTGCCAGACCTGCTGAGAATTTCCAGGATCTGCAGTTCTTTCAGTTTTTTGTGTGTTTGGCATCCTTGGACAATCCTAAACAGCTCAGTTTTTGGGAAAATTACCAGCTCGCAACATAATTGTTTACTGTGAACATTTTGTAGGTTAGTCACTGAAATAGATTACGAAAGCTGAATTTATACAGG